GGAGCGGAAGACTCGACTGGAAACCAGCTGAAGCCCTCGTTTATGATGCCTCCCATCAACTGCTGCATCAGGGTGCCTCATTTTCTAGTTCGCTCGACATTTGTTATATAGCGTTACATGTATGGACGCAATGCACTGCTCGTATGGTTTCTTAAATTTCGCTGACCGGTAGGCGCACTCTCCAGGTTTCCGTCAACCCTATGGTCTACTTGAACTCAAACAAATTCATTCGCATATCAATTCGGGTTTGACGGAAACTGGAATTTCATGTGAATGTATTTCGATACGTGCGATCTGTCTCTATCGTGCCAGCGATAGTGACACGATAGTGTCCATTACCGGCACTCCGTCAGATAGTCTGCAGGCCATCCCCGTTCCTTCAGTATTCCATCAGTTGACATGTGCCACATGCCTAACTGGCCATAGGACTGCACCACAGGGACGCCCTTCCTAAAAACATAAAACGCTGAGGCGAAATTCTGCTGCTCAGTAGTTCATTCGCTGGTGATCTTACCACGAGCATCAAGAGCGGACAAAAATGCGTGGCTTGCCTCTGATCTACGTTATGTACAAACGGAATGCAGCTATTTTGACAAAATAGACGAGCTCGCTTGTGAAAATTTAAATCTTTGGCTCCATGCAAAACGCACAAATGCCAGAACTAAAACTGGATGAAAAGCAGCAGTGAGGCCTACCTGGGCGACAAACTGGCACCCTTCTCCTGCCCTAAAAGACCGGAACAGGCCGTTGATTTATTCGATCGTGCACGAAGCGTGCTCTATTTAATACAAATACCAGGTTTCATTATTCGAGAGCACATTCTCTTACTTGGTACCCTGTTAAAAACAACAGACCACGATAGCTGTTAGATCAGCTGCCATTGGCGATCATAAACTAGAAAAGGGCGTGATGGCACACTAGTTAGAGCGCAAATTCACTGACCGGAATGTCCGTGGTTTGAACCAAAACAATGACGGCTTCCGATCACGCGGCGGCAGGAGATTACCTAATCGCTAGTCGTCTAACGGTGAGTCAGGGAGCTGTTCTTTCCTTCGAAACGGTGTCCTGAAGAACTGTCTTTCCTGGACTGATGTTCCGCAGTTTGAAAATCTTGGGTTACAAAACCACAAATGCCCGGCGTCTGCCCAAAAATGAAGCCATGAGTAATCCGTTAAAACAAATCCAATGACGTGTCCTTCTTATAAGGTGAAAGCATCGCGTTAGGTGGACGGTGTGATGCTGCATGAAGATTCAGCAGACAGAGACTGGCGTTGGTCTTAAAAATTGACCACAAACAATGACGGACTATGAAAGTTCATGATAAGCGAACTTCATTGCCCACCGAAACTAGTTGCATTCTCACGCTTGTAACAAACTGCCGTTCACTACGTCAAAACACAAAATACTGTAAACTTCCATCCCACTGAGATGCCTACTCTAAACAAGTTCAGTCCGTTCCGGCCCCAAAAGATTTGTTTCAATAATTTTTTTTCTGATACCAATAACCACGTCATAACTAAGACCACTATAGGTGTCCCGAGGGACACTTTCTCCTGCAGAGAAAAACCAGATTGTAAAATTCAACTCCATCTCTTATTAGTGCACAGGTAGTGATAGCCATAATTCATATCAGAAGGTGAATGTGCACTAATAAAATCTTTTAGTACTTCTGCGACACGTATAAAATAAATACAATGTGAAATGGGAGCAAGTCAAAAAGGGAACTTATCGGATGCGAGAGTCCCTTGGTGGAAGTCCGGACGGCGGGATGGGTGACTGGGTCGCTACACTCTCTCATAATACATGGCCACTTGAGTGCCTTATGAGTTTGGTTATACAGTGGTTGAGGCTTTAAAGGACTTTCGGTTACAAGAATCTTAATCACAAACTATCACAATCAAAGAGTTTGCTACAGTGAAGAGTGTACAGTGGCATGTTGTTTCATCCACGACTCATTGAATAAAACAAAATTGACTTCAGCGGTCCACCGGAATCTGGAAAGGCAATATGGAAATATAGTAAGGTTTGACGGTTAACTACAAGATACGTGCATTCTGTTTATCGTGGTTTACTGGATTTTTACGTAGGCCGGTGGTTCCCAAGTTTTTTCCCAGCTGATCACCCGTTACCAATAATAACGTTTATCTCCAACTTGTGGGTAGCATACCGTCAGGTATGGATACACAACTGCTAGAGCGTATCTACCACCGCGCGACCAAGCTGGTCATTGGCCTCCGAAACGTTCCCTACAGTGAAAGGCTACGTAAACTCGATTTGTTTGATTTAACTTATCGGCGTATACGAGGAGACCTCATCCTGATGTTCAAGATAATAAACACCCCTAATCACCCTTTAAAACATTTGTTCACAGTTAATTTGGCCCGACAGACCCGACGGAATCCATTGGCCGTTGACATTCCATGTTCCCGCATTAACTGTCGGCGCTACTTTTTTTCAGTCCGCGTATCCCTCACGTGGAACAAACTACCAACATCTGTTGTGGATTGTGGTAACCTCGAGACTTTCAAACATTCGCTTGACGAATACATAAGATCTCACCCAACTTCCCTCATAAACATTTGAGATGCAGATTACAAACAATAGAACATACATGTCATATCATTCCGATTATCTGTATACATACACACACACACCAATATCCTTTGGTCATTGTAAAGCAAAATGCTTTTTAGACTAATATAACCTTGATTTGCCTTGATTTAATGTTACTGTCAGAATGAAAGCATGACTGACGGGAATTGAGGGCACAGTGGGGTAGGAAAAGAGACAGCGTCACAAAGGGTGAGTATTATGCAATACAGGCGTAGTTACCACTAAGCGTGCACGGGCAGGGAAGCATAGTTACTACGCGTTATTCAAGAGAATGTCGAGCAAGACCGAATCGTTGAAATTTCGAGGCGGCGGGCAAATAAAAAGGGAGGGGGCTTCTCGCCTGAAACATGAGAGGAAAAGTGTAACGGTGACGTTTGAGGAACCAGAACCTCAGATCTGGTGAAGCCGCAGGGCTGGCGTCATCCAGTCGGTCATATTGAACTAAAACCTAAAACCACCGCTAAGGTCTCGTGGCCTTGGACTGTTGGGCTCATGGCCAGGGTCACAAAAGAGCGTAAATGCAGATGATGAAGTAGAGGGATCAGCAAGGAGGATGGGTGGTAAGAGGAATCTCAGGAACTTGGCGTACAGTGAAACTGCAGAGACTCACAGGTGTCTCTGTTGTGGAGACGGGGGTAGTGAGATGATGGCAACACACAAGCCGGAACACGAACTATATAGAAAGTTGTTGAATTTTGCGGGAAGCACAGACACGCTGAAATAGTTTAATTCGGACGAAAAGTTCAACGGTCTTGAATGAACACGTCATGAAGCAGCTAGGATCAGGTAGGGAGATTGTTTGTATTTGCAGTTGATGGATCGAGCAGGTGAGAAAGCACGGTCAAGGGAAGGAATGGAATAGTTGTGCGCGTGCTAACAAACTGGGTATGGTAGTTCGTGTTGGCACTGGCCTGGCATTTCAATTTTTGGACAGCCCCGTAACGGATGTCATATTTAAGGTTATTCGCCTGGGATGTAAGATTCTTTGAGCGGCAGGATTCTTTCCAAACTGGCCAAGGAAACAAGATAGAACGAAGCCGCTATAGGATCACAGGTTTTTGGGTCCGCTTGGGGATCCTGTGGTTGTATATCACAGACCCGTTGGACTGGATAACAACCAACCAGATGGTTCAAACAGGGTATTGTCGAAGTTCAAAGCTTGAGAAGATGTGAGGATGGGATTAGATTATTAATGCTTGGTGGGTTTGAGGGAACATCAAATAAGATAACGTGCATAGCATACATAGAAAGAAAAACTTCACGTCAACCGCGGTTAGGGTGATGACGACAGGTGTTTACACGATGTAGGATAGGGATGGATTTGTAATCAGCAGAGTAGCGATCAGGGGATGTTGAAGCACAAGGGATCTAGCAAAAGCCGATATTAGCACGCAGAAGTTTGGTATGGTTAGGGGAACCAGATGTATAAGGGCTGATGGGAATGAACTTCCGAGATGATGGACTGGTTAATCTGGTATTTATTACATAGGTTGGGCAGTACCGGGAGAGAGAGCATTTGTAAGAGAAATGGTCACCAGTCCTTGAAGCACTGCGGTTAGCTCCAAGTTACCGAGTAATGTATGGCGAATGACAAGCCTTTGAGCACTAGTCTTGCGTGATGGTGGCGGGGGTTCGGGAACTTCAGTGTACGTATATTTCTCGTTGTATATGCTCACTCCTTGAAGAAGCAGGTAGAATTGCGTGTTTTGTTTGGTTTGCTGGGTGAGCTTTGGTTCGGTAAAGCCACAATTGTGGCAAAGGCAGCTTTAGCTCCGCACATAGATTTAAACCATGAAGATCGCATAGTCTTCTATATGTTATTTTTTACGAATTTCTAGACGGGAGTCCAGTGGTTTTTCAGGTTCACTTTCTTTGCATTGCCTGGGGCTTATAGCTTTGATATAACCGGGTCGAGCACAACCCAGCAACAACAGACTGTGACAGCAGAGTACTTTTATTGATTTTCCGAATCGAAGGCCATGCCCAGAACCACTGGCGATGGACGAAGCACCCGTGCTACCGGAGGGGTAATGGGTATACGAACGCACCATGGTGCAAAGCAACAGGACAATCCTCCCAGCAGGATGTACTGACCACATCACGAGGTTTTCATCCCTCTTGCATATCAGACAAAATTGTGGCTTGTGCAATAATAAAGAACTCCAGCTGCCAAATATTTTATCAGGTTGGGGGAAATGCACGCCAGTAAAATGGCAAACGACAGACAGCCGCCGAAAATTCAGGTCGCGGGTCAGGTGAGGCGGCAGCAACCATTGGGACAGTGAGGATAAAACGGAGATGGCCAGAGCGTACAAATCATGGCTAAATGATGGAGCAGAATAAGCTATCGGACCGTATTCAATACGGTCTTTTTAAAAATCTCCAATATTTTGCGGGCACACAGTGGTAATTTAATAATATTTTAGTTTTTCTGGGTACCCCTTCCGGAACCAACACTACCAGGATTTTCTCACAGAAAAAATTATACTGGACAACTGCAGTCATCGCGGAGGCAGGAATGTTGAGGATCTAGCCCGAAACTGTGTTAGATTGGGTGTCAGCTGAGGGAGACTGTGCACCCTAGATATATATGCTGGAAGATATCGATTTAATTGACGGGAATTTTGAGTTCACCAAAACTGACGATGTTACCTAACTGAACGTCCATCAACAAAACATGATTTTAAAGGAATGCAATGTCTAAAAATTCGAATCAGAAGTATAATAATTTTCGGTGCGTACACCAGCTTGATGGACAGTTAACCAAATTTTACATTCCATTCTCTCGACCGATGCGAAGAATACAATGGGGGGGATCCGGAACTTTTATT